ATCGGAGATGGTGGCGTCTTCAGTGGACTGGAGACAGAAACGTAATCTTCATCATTCAAGTGAAACAGTTCCAGGGATACAAGAGGGACCAAAAAACAAAAAAACAAATCCGATGCGGTACGGTAGGAATCAAAATGCATACGTGTAACAATTCATCTCCATCCTATCCCAAGTGACCATAGTTCATTCACCTCCAACAGAAAACGAAAACGGTAGTTACATGCGCTTTCATCTGTTTATCCAGACATCTCTACTAGCTTCACAAGAGTCTTAAGCAATTAGGTAAGCTATTACCAAGTTCACCAGGAGAAGTTAACCACGAGTGTATCCTGCACAGCATCCTCCTAAAGTTCGATTCACGTTACCAAGCTCAACCATAAGAAGGGAAGATCAACCACTGATGTTGCCGAGCCAAAACAGCATCGGGAACTGAACGACCGCCAGGAAGAGCAGAAAGTAGTGGTTTCGACTCGGATGCCGCTCGTAACTCCTTGGTCCACCCAGAAGAACTCTCTTCATGGTCTTCACGAGGAACACGCCAGTGCAGAGACAGAACCATGGCATGATGAAGTAGTATAAGTAGCTCCAGAAGATGCGGGCCAGCATCGCAAGAGATGTGCCAGCAAATCCATACCCAGCATACGCCACAATGTCTAGCAATGGCGCTTCACCACTGCCCAGGGAGTACAGCAAACCTTTGATGAGGACGACTTGCAGAAACCAGCCAACTAGACCTCTCGTGAATTGTAGGGTCAGTGCCTCAGGGGTAAACCTACATCACCGAACAAATCACATTTAGACGATTCAGTCATGTAAAGTGTGCAGTGGTTCTCCAGATAGAAGATGCAGAGTGCTTCACACTGTATTTACCTTCCAAGGACTCCCAATGCGTATCCAGCAATGACAATGTAGGTGCCAAACGCCATCAAAGGGATGTACAGGTCTGGTGCATTGATATCCTGAATTGGAGGTTTGTACGATAGCCTTCCTCCTACAGGTTCAGTTATTCTCGTCCAATGGCCCTTAAGGAAGACAATAAATGCAATATGCATGTTATGAGACTTCAGAGTATGCAAATCTTGCAAGGAAAAAAAGGAGAGAGAACAACAGCGCTTACCCTGTGAAAGAAAGGGAACAAGACGACCTTCAGTTTGTTCCTCACATACTGGCTGTTGACTTGAAAATAGTATTGAGGGTCGGACAAATATTGAGTAATCTGACACAATCAAGTGAGGTTAGCTTGGCAAGTTTAAAAAATATTATCCACGAAAGAGAATTGAATAAAGTTGAGGACATACATTGCTCTGCATGAACTCAGAACTCGAACCAAGAAATTTCTCTCCATATGCTCCAAGTCCAGTACGGATCAGTCCAGGTCCAGCACCATACATGGCACTTTCAAAAGGATTTGGTGGTGCATTTGCAGGTCTAGGACCTAAGCCACCCAGATCACTATTCATTGCTGCCATGATAATAACTGAGCAGACAGTCAGAAAACAATGTATTCAGAACAGTATAACAAAAGAAAACTGTGCTCAAAAGTATTTTGTGACAAGTTGAAGTCAAGAATCGTAAGATGGTCTGTATCCAATTGATGATCAACAAACAGTAATCAAAATTCGAAAGTAATACTAAGTTCATTATGATCCCAACTCCCAAGTCAAGAGAAGGAAAGAACAGCAGAAACAAATCATAGCTCAATGAATTTCATGACATAACACCCATCCTTCCAAGATGAAGTGGTGATGCTAACGAGAATGTGTCATAAAACTACTTTGACGGAGATAAAAGGAAAGACAGGTGATCCACATCAGCACATCTCATTTTGGCTGGTGCAGCCTGTTGCCTTAGAGCATCTCCAGCCGTTCGGCCCCCCAGGGTGCCGAAAAAGAGCGGCCTGGGGGCGAGCCGGCGCTAGTTCGGCCCCTGGGGTTCGGTTCGAACCCAGTCACACGCCCACGGTCGCCGCGGGTTCGGCGAAGTTCGTCTTGTTTTTTTGCAAACTCGGCGACTTTTGCATGAACTCGGCCATTTTGCATCCAAATTTGTACAAAAAACGTAAAACATGCGTGAACTAACTTAAAAACGAACTAAAACGCCTAGCCAGTGCCGCCACCGTCGCCGCCGCCGCCGTCTACATGCCGAGAAGCCTATAGAAGCGGGTGTAGTCGCCGCCGCCGTCGTCGTCATCGCGCCTCGCCCGCGGCGTCCCTGCTGCACCCCTCACCCAGGTCGCCGACAGCGCATGACGGCCCGCCTCGACCTCGTCGTCGCTGTCAATGACGATAACGCCGCCCTCCTCGGCCCGGCGACGGGCCTCGGCGCGGCTGCGGGCCTGGGTCTCCAGGTAAGCCCGACGCTGGCGGCGCACCTGCTCGCGGACGTAGTCCTCCCTCGCCCATTTGAGGGCGGACTCGTCGTCGGGGGCCACCATGCCGGCGTGCTCCGGCTTCACCGGGGGCGCGTCCGGCTTGGGCTTCGGCCGGACAAGGCGAAGGGAGCGCCCCGTCGGTGTCGTCGCAAGCGACGGCTCGTTGATGACGAGGGCGCCACTCCGCGCGCGACGCCCAAGCGGTGTCTCCTCCGGCTCCGGCTTAACGGGGCGGATGGCCGGCGAGCCGAAGCCCGACAAGGAGGACGACCCCGGCTCCATTCGCCGCGGTATCCAGGAACTACCGCGGCGGCGAGAGAAGGAGGGGCGCGCCGGGTACTCCAATCGCGGCACATTGCCGGTCTCGATGTGGTCGAGGACGGTGTCGAGTGTGCGGCCGGGGACACCCCACCACTCGCGCCGTCCTTCGGAGTTGAGGCGGCCGCGGGGGATGACGCCGTTGACGGAGGTGATCTGCTCGTCGCGGCGGGCCTGGAAGTACAACGTCCACAGCGTTTCGCTGTCGGGCGCGTACCTCGGCTCGTTCCGCTGCTCCTCTGTCAGCGAGGAGCGGATGCTGGCGATCTCCGCCCGCCGCGCGGCTCCTTCGGGGGGCGCCGGGTACTCGGCCTCGTACAGAAGGCGCGCCTCCAGCTCCTGGAGGTGTCGGCGGCCGAAGCCATTCGTCGCTGCGCCGTCGCCTGGGTATCTCTCAGCCATTTTGCTCGTCGACGGTGGAAGGCAGTGGGGGGGAGAGCTCGTCGGCGAGAAGAAGGCTTGCGCGGGAGGGAGAGCGGGAGTGTGTGGCGCTCACCGGCGGGGAGGGCGCCTTTTATAGCCGAAGCGGGGGTGGCAGTGGGCGGCATGCAACCGGTGCGTGGCGCATGCGAGCGGACGCGCGTCGGCAGCGTCTTCACTGCGCCGCCCATGAGGCATCAATGGAGGCTGACCGGCGCGGCAGCGCGGCAGCCTTCGCATTGATTCCCACGGGAACCGAGGCGATGAGGACGACCAAGCGGCCGTCTCGCTGACTCGGCGGGCCCGCAGCTGCTTCGCGCCAAAACGCTCGCCCCGGCGCCCCCGAGCGCCACCCGGCGCGTCGGGTTCGGCTTGGGTCCGCTGGCGCTGATTTCGGCCAAAGCCGGCGAAAAACGGGCTCCTGGGGGCGCGGCTGGGCCTTTTTTGGGCGCCGGCGGAAAAAAATCGCCTCGGGAGGCCGTTCTGGGGGCGCGGCTGGAGATGCTCTTAGTTTAACAACTACTCCCTCCGTTCCGAAATATAAGTCTTTTTAGACATTTCAAATGGACTACAACATACGGATGTATGTAGACATACTTTAGAGTGTAGATTCACTCATTTGGCTCCGTATGTAGTCACTTGTTGGAATCTCTAGAAAGACTTATATTTGGGAACGGAGGGAGTAACATTCTGTAGTAATATGACGGCCTAACAGGAAGCATTGTCCGTTAAGACTTTTCTTGGTCAAAGAAAAATGCATCAGGTTATCATTGCACTGATCTGAGGTCATTCCATAATCTTTACAACAACAACGAAGCCTTTAGTCCCAAACAAGTTGGGGTAGGCTAGAGCTGAAACCCAAAACATCTCAACCAACTCATGGTTCTGGCACATGGATGGCAAGCTTTCCTTAACTGGCTAAATAAATTTTAAAGCAAACAAAGCCACCATGGCAATTGAGTGCACGGTCCTGAATCCAAGAAACTGCAAATTGTCTTTACAAACAGTGTGTTATGGTACATATTGGTGATTTTACCAGTTCCCTTAATTACTTGTTCTGGTGAACTACAAAAGTAATAGGATCCTAAAGGCTTACCCAATGTCCCACTTCCATCCGCAAATCCAGTTATTCTCAGATCTACTACACGCTACTCTAAAACTTCTTTCCAGAAAGATAACCACACTAATCTATACTTCTCTTTAACCTCCAATAGCAGGGCAGCCGCCGTAAACTACATTCTTCCTGATCCCATCCCAAATTCCAGGGGCGGACCTAACGTGGGGCACGCGGGATCAGTCGAATCCCCTAGTTTCTTCCAATTTCGAAACGAATTGCTACCCGTGGTCAACGCAGCAACGGAATACGATGGGGATGGGATGGATCGGAGTGCCCACTCCAGAAAGTAAGATCTGCATCAGATTGCTCACAGCAAAGACAACTCGTACAATACAAGTATCTCAGAACAATCCAAGCAAGCTAGGGTTCATCGCAGACAGGCGTGGATCTAGATGGTGCGCCAGGGCGTACACCAGCGCAAACCCAGAATTTGTGGAGGTTAGTTTGGGGTTTACCTCAGGAACCAATGCCGTACAAGATCGCGGACAGGGTGGGGGCAGCAACGGGGGCGATGAGGTGGAACGGGGACTGGGACTGGGACGGGGACGGCGGTGACGCGCGTGAGGGGCGGAGTGTTGGGGGGTGGCTGGTGAGGCGTCGGCGGTGTCGTAGGATGCGGCACGGCGGAACTGTAGGGCACGACGGAGGTAGACTACTCTGGGTCTAGAGTCGCGTTCGCCGTTGGGTCAGATTGGAGCTTGGGGAAAAGGGATCTTTTCTTTTCTCTTCTTCCTTTTTTTTAACGCACTACGTACAACGCAAAGCTGATACATATCTTTATCTTTAATCTTTACCCCTATTTTTTTTTTAATAATAAAGCAAATTAGGTTTTTTTCGTCCGTCATGCCATTTTTCAAAAAAGTCCCTCTATTTCAGATAATTCAACCCGCAGTCCTGTTTTAAGTTAAAACGAATCGTTATTTTCATATTTTACACAAAAGTCCTTGTCTTTTCTTAAAATCAACCCGCAGTCCGGATTTAAGTCACACCCGAACCGTTATTTACATTTTTTGATACCCATGTTTTAGGTAATTCATCCGCGGATCATATTTAAGTCAAACAAATGCTTTTTAAAATCATCCATATCTTTTAAACCGTAACTCCGATTTGAACATGGTATATATGAAATTTGATTAGAAATATATGTAGAATATGAATATGAGATTATTTTTACGTTTTAAGTATCTTTAAATATTATTTTGGAATATATTTGAGTCAAACCAAATGATTTTCTAAATTATCTGTATCTTTTAAACCGTAACTTCGATTTTAACATATTATATATGAAATTTTATTAGAAAAATGTGTGGAATCTAAATATGATGTTAATTTACCTGTTAAATATTTTTAAAATATTGTTATGGAAGCAAACTTATAATTTATAGCCCAAGATCCGTTTTTTCATACCGGCGGCGATCCGGATTGCAAATAAACACTCCACTATAACCATATACGGAAAAGAAAACATCGATAACTACACGTGCATACGTCTCAAAAATATCACAAGGGAAAACAACAGATTTCTCTCCGCGAGAGTGAGAGAAAGCGAGCGAGAGAGAGAGAGAGGGAGAGAGAGAGGGAGAGGGAGGAGAGAGGGAGAGAGAGACGCCTTAGGATTAACCATATTCAACACACGTTTTTTGTTGTTTTGTGTGAACACCGAGGCCATCGCCGGCGAGGGTGAGAAGGAGGATAAGCGGCAACACAAATATGATGCCTCGCAAAAATAAAGAAGATGGACCTATTGTGGTCTTGAGTGACGGTTGTTGAGTTAAGAGTGTGTGTTATGTTTTCTCTCCCGTTGCAACGCACGGGCTCTTTTGCTAGTGCACATACATACACTCATCTTAGAGCATCTCGGGCCGTTGGGCCCCTAGGGTGACAAAAAAAGCCGCCTAGGGGCGAACCGACGCAAGTTTGGCGCTTGGGGCGACTCTGCCCCCAGTCGTCGCCCACCAGGTCGCCGCGAGTTCGGGAAATTACGTACAAACTTGTGCAAACTCGACGATCTGGTACGAACTCGGCGAAATTTCATTAAAATTTGAAAAAAATGCAAACTACGGCAAACTACGCTAGCCAAACTACGCTAGCCACTACGCCGCGTCCACCGCCCGTCATCTACATGCCGAGAAGCCTGTAGAAACGGGTGTAGTCGCCTCCGCCGTCGTCGTTGTCGTCGCGTGCCCTGCCGGAGCCACCCCCGTCCCTGACGCACCCCTGCCCAGGGTCGCCGACATGCGGCG